GGTTCGAATCAAAGATGTTTTGATGTTAGTTCGTATTGAAATCATGAACCTTATTATGTCAACCATTATCGAATAAAAAAACTATAAAATCATTTTTAGACAGAATTAAACATATCCTTAATTATATTGAAATATGTCAATTACTGGAATCACGAATGAAACGTGCAAAGAACCAACCAAACGGATCTGTAAAAACCAAACAAAAAAATGAGGTCTTTATACAAGATTTTAAAAAACTTTGTCATTTATATCTAAATTAATTCTGCATTGTCTATATTGAAAACTTCAGCAACTATACATAATATAGGTAGTGCTGTAAAAAGCCTCTTATGGCTGAATAACCAAGATTCTCGGCTGCCAAAAAATGTTTTCAATAAATAATATATTTTATTAGTATACTCTGTGAACGCATGAGTCGTGTGTGGAAATTATGTAACCAAATATGGAATAGTATACTTAAAATGGAGTATTAAAATATCTAAATTAATTAAAAGTCTGTTACGTCTGTTGTTTTTAAAATATGATTATATCCATTAAAATTATTTGGAATAATTAAAGTAAGAAATAGCATAATTAAGGAAATTTTATAGCGTTGAAATCACTTTACAATCATCCAAACCTACGTTGCTGCCATTTCTTCGTTGAGTAATATTCACTACGAATTGCTTTGAATGCTGTTCAAAACTGACACAATATTATTAAATAAACAGAAAGAGGATCCTCGCTATTCAAATCAAACAGTCTGCTTTTATAAGGAGAATGTGAGTGATGTCACATTCTCCTTATAAAAGCAGACTGTGATCAAGAGACCTACATCACCTGTAACACTTTTGAGAACTATTAACCCTCTCTGAGAAAATACTATTTTCGGCTATACCTTGTCACATTACACATTAAAACTTTGTCGAGTTGAGGTTAACCAAAAAATGTACGCATAAATAGAGACTTAACATAAGTTATGTGTTCTAATTGAAACAAAATACGGCTCCAAATGTATAAAGTTTCGATGTCACATATGACATAAAAAGATTCAACAGTGATTTGCAGTAAAGTCTGGATAATATAATGGTTATCCTGCATTTGAAATGTGCTGCGCAGTGCCAACTCTATCTCAACTGAGTAAAGTTGAATTTTCCTCTTTACGCGTGTTTCACATTGTAACGAAGTCAGGTGTGTGTTAGACAGTTGTCTAGCTTTGTCCTAGACTCTCATAGATGCTGAAAGCAACGCTATATTGAATGACATGACGAGTGAACTCTTGAATATGCAAAAAACTTGCAAAAGAATATATACAGTGGAAGCTCCATTATCCGGATCTCAGGCATACGGATTCGTATTATTCGGTCAGAAAATATGATACTGTAAGAGAGAAAAGATTAAAAATCCATATGCAATACATTTTATTTAGTCTAGGCTTTTAAGAAGCACTTGCGATAACTAAGCGGCAACCAACAACAAACTCAGCAAGGGTATTGTTTTTCCTGTACTGTATTTCGTATCAAATTATTACTTTGACAAATTCATTTTGTCCATTCATCTTTGCATATTAAAGTAAATGGAAGAGTAACAAACTGTGTATGTTTCTCCTCGCAAACTTTTACATAGGATTGTCACAAAACTCCATCGCCAGCCCTTTAACGTCCCCACTGCAGGGGCTCAGGCCTTCCTTGTGGATGGTTAAGGAGGATGGGCCATGACCCTCCACGCTGGCCCAATGCGGATTGGAGGGTATTAACGACTGCAAATGCAGACGGGACCAACGGCTTAACGTGCCTTCCGAAGCACGTAGTAGCTCGAGATAATAATATTTTGATCACCCATCCCGTGACTGACCCTTGCGAAAGTTGCTTAACGACTACGATCGCGGGCCGAGGCGCTTATCCTCTACGCCATCGAGCGTCACAAAACTCATGTCATATAAAATAGTAATTAATAAAGCTATTGTTTGTCTCTGGATTCCGTGAAAAAATATAAATATAAAATGATAATGTATCTACAATTAATTTAAAATAATACCACTACTGTATCACCAGAATTGATATTTAATTTCACCAACAACCCATATAGTTAAATATAATCTATTTTAACCAATTAAGGGATAGAATTGTGAATATTTATTGAAGTAATACCCTTCTGGAAGTTTCGATGCCGTGAACGTAGCACAAAAGGCGTTGTTCGATAAAATGTAAATTTGTGCCGCCATCTAGCGGGTTTCTTTAATTACTCTTTTGATGTAACTGAGACCTGAACTGGGTTTGAGTATAAAGCAAGAGCTGATAATATGAAAACCAAATAAAATAAATAATAAGTAAATCGAAAAGAATTAAATTTTAGATAAATAATGAGTACCTATTAATCATATAACTTCTAATGTAACTCAAAATATGATCAATTTTAATTTATATATAACCGTTTAAAATATGATAATAAAACGTGAGAATTTGGTAAGAGAATGTTTCTTCGCAATTTCTTCTTTGCTGATTTTGTAACCTGTGCTAAAAATTACTTTAGATTTGTCATAGAATAGATACATCATATTATAAAAGAAGAAAGAGGAAGTATTAGGTATTCGCTTGTTTTGAATGATTGATTGGCTCCAAAGTAACTGGACCGATTTTAAAATTTGTTTCACCTGCGGAAATCAACATCATACATGGATCATATTAAGCATAAACTTACGCGGGCAAAGTCGCGAACAATTAATATAATATACAAGTGGCGCCAATATAACATGAAATAATATATCTTATAATTTACAACTCCAAGTTATATCCCTAAAGGCTGCAAACGAAACTGGCAATCTTCCAAATAATACGGCCTTATTATTGAAAAACTGTTTCTCTCATCGTAATACAAATACAAACAATGTATATTTAATTAGATCGACTATTCAGATCACAGAACTTCCAGAACATTCCATAAATACACACAGCTAATTGGTTTCGATTAACTTTGAAGTATACTTAAATTGTTACGTTTCATTAGATTTAACATCTTTCATGTAAGAAATTCTATGTATGTAAATTGACGTATGCTTAAAATATAATAGCAAATTGATTCCCTGATCTTTAGAGGATTCAATATCAACAACTTCTCAGCTGATTACATCAATCACTCGTAAGAGCAAGAGTGGTTTGATATGTAATTTATCTAATTACATAAATTCAGTGTGTCTTTATTATCATGGTCATTTTAAGCGAAAACGTATAAATGCTAAGATAGTTCACAATAATAATATTATAACACATAAGTATTCCTTTGCTATTCACCCGCTACTTCTACGTATATATACTATTATAATAAACAGCGACTTCGTCCGCGTTTTCCATTATTTATTCGCTCCTAATAGTTGCAGCGTGATGTTATATAACCTAAAGCCTTCCTCGATAAATGGTCTATTCAACACAAAAAGATTTTTTCAATTCGAACCAGTATTTCCTGAGATTAGCGCGTTCAAACAAACAAACAAACTCTTCAACTTTATGATATTAGTATAGATAAGTATTCCTTTGCTATTTACCCGGTACTTCGCCCGCGTTAATTATACCGTTCCTGCGTATGAATTGAAATGAAATGAAAATGTCTTTATTCAAGTAGGCTTGTTTCAAGCACTTGAATCGCCCAAAAAAAATTTTCCCCTTCCACTTGTTCAAGGCGTCTTTTAGCTGACAAGAAGAACAAGCGAAAGAAACTTACCAGCTCTATATCATAAGTGATGACATTTAGATAAATCATGTCATTACCATAATAGTACGTATTATAACAATAATAAATACAATTATCATTTAGCTTCCAGTAGTATATTACGAGTACTATCACATCACCAGCATATTAATGTACCCACTGGCTGACTGCAGATGCAGCAGGTCTTAACGTGCCTTCCGGAGCACGGAGGAGTTTGAGATAATATTTTTTTGGTCATCCACAAAAAGCGCTACCCAATGCACCATCGAGGGCGGTTATCAGAATATAAGGACCGATGGTATTTAAAAAGTGAATTGAAATCGATGTTACACCATCAAAAACACGCCACGTCAATAACGAACTCCCTCACGCCTGAACCTTATTTACAATGAAACGAGAGAAAAAAAACTGTCGCACCAAATCGATACCCTTTCGGTAAACAGTCGAATCAATCGCGGAGACAGACCATCAATCTGAGAAGAGGCTAGTCATGCCTCCAGCTTTACTTTTCCCGAGTAAACACCAAATTAAAACCTCATTGCTACGCTAAATTGAAATATAATCCATTCAGTTAGAGCTCTCTTTTACGCAAATTTTAACATTGTCCTCCTGTTCCGTAGTTCCGATGTCGTCTGATTCAGCAAAACGGAGCCTGTGATAGAACAGACGGACTGGAAAATATTTTGTTCCTAGCAGATGATTTGTGACACGAGCCGCTGTGAATATGAGGAGGAGGGATCGTCTATCTTAATAACGAAGATGATCACTAAAATGCATTTAAATGTATAAAATTTGATTATAGCAGTCGAAGTCGTTCAGTAATAATTTTAGAGCTTTCAATCAGGGCAGGTATATCCATATAACATACTTGTATTCTGTTCGATATACGTGATGTTGAAATAAGATTCTCGTATGGAAGAAATAAAACTTGAAGAATAAATTAGGTTCATATCTTTTTTTTTTTCATCAGAGTACGAAACCTAAAATATTTAATACCAACTATATAGTTTGAAAAAAGATTTTTCTCTTAAATATTTAGGCACATAGTGTTTATATGATCATAGTATTAGATTAAAATGTCAATATCTAGATTTGATTAGATCTTATATTTGAATACTTTAATTTAATTAATATAAATAAATTAAAGAATGGAAAGAACAATTTATAATGGTCACTATAGTGTTTTTTAGACGTACCTTATTTACATCTTGAATTATTATTTACATTATTTATATATGATTTTGACTATTCCTCTTATTAAAGCTATATAAAAAGTGATATCTGGCTTTAATTAGCAAATATCTTCGATACACAATCTACTGAACCCCGAAAGGATAGTGGTACGACATCCTGGCGACTTCACTCGGAACGTAGTGCAAATCCTGATAAGCCTTCACCATCATTTGTTGATTCACCACTGTAAAAGGTCTCGGAGATATACTCTCTATGGAGGGTAAAGGTCTCAAGTCCAGACTCGGCAAGGCATCCTCTTTGGGCCTCATCGGGGCAGGAACGAACGTAGCCTGCGATATAGATGGCACCGTGTAACTTATCATGTTGTTGTACACGAATTGGTCAGAATAAGTCAATGGTATCTGGTAACTTTGGTCTGCACGAGGTTCTACTTCTAAGAAAGTCTCCCTCGTGGTATATACAGGGTTTGTGAATTGTGCCGCCTCCAGACGGTTCTTCCTCCTCGGCCGATATTTATAATCCGGGTAATCCTGCATGTGTTTTATTCTTAACCGTTTAGCTTCGTCTATAAAGGGTCTCTTCTCAGACTCGTTCAAGCTTTTCCACTCCAAGCCCAACCTTTTGGATATCTCCGAGTTGTGCAACTTCGGGTTCATCATTGATATTTTCTTGCGTTGCAACCGCGACCACACCATAAAAGCGTTCATAGGTCTCTTTATATGGAAGGGGTTTGATTTCAATTTCGTTGTGGACTTCACTGGTATCGGTGTTTCTATATACGCCATTGGTTAAGAACTGAACGTTTCATTTGGATTTTACTAGGTTTTTGTTTACACCAATTATAACAAACAAATAATTAAATGAACCTCACGTATACATTTGTCAGTCGCACTATATACAAGCTTAAAGGTCAAAAGTCGCTGGAGTGACAGTCAGGCATGCACTGATGACCAGTTTCGAAGTCAACTAAACCTGAATGCTGTCATTAAGGCAACAATGGTACGGCAACAATTGGGATGACAATTTTCCATGTATTATTCGCCGCTGAATAAAGAGCGGCGACAATGCACTGATTGCTCACAAATTGTCAAATGATACATGTGTATGTTTTGTGAGCGGCGCGCCTGCGCACCGATCTATTAAAAGATCAGCTTAGATGTACACAGAGTAGGGTCAGAAAAAAAACTAATGGATTTCAAAATCTTAGTATAGACCAAGACTAAGTTCAAATACATACGATACACAAAAATATATTATAGCTAGACTTTCAGGGAGGTGATGGATGGATGGTAGGTACTGGATTGCCAAAAGTGGTATGTGGATATAAACGAAAAAAAAATTATGGTTCGACAAGGTCCAAGCCTTCTCGTTCTGTTTAGCACAAGCTCTTTTTTAAATAATTGTTCTGATTAATTTTGATGACCAAATTATGGCAGTTGATAAGTACCTGTTTTATCTATTCATTTCATCAATCTGAAGTATCTATTCGTTTCAGAAATGAAAATCCCTGCTAGGTCATCACTACATAATATAAAACAAAGTCGCTTTCTCTGTCCCTATGTATGCTTAAATCTTTAAAACTACGCAACGGATTTTGATACGATTTTTTTAATAGATAGGGTGATTCAAAAGGACGCTTTTTATGTATAATACAAGACCACGCGGGCGAAGCCGCTGGCGGAAAGCTAGTTTACAATAACTGCTTTACAATTTCTGCAAAAAATAGTGTTGTTATAATGCTCTAGTACGAAAGCAACACAATTTTTAATTGGAAGTTAACTATTGGGATGTTATAATACACTACATAATATTAATCAAACCGTAAGAGCCCTATTACAAATACAAATAAACAAGCTACACGGCCGAACAAATTAAGCTTGGTCGGCCGGTGCATCGCGTTTTGTAGCAATTTTGCAGTTAAATTTATAAATGTTATTGAAATGGAATAATAAATTTGTGCTTGAAAATAATGAAATATTCATTACTTGTGAAGTAATAGTGTGCTAGTACAAATTTTGTTCTATAATATTAACTTAAATAGAAAAAAATCATAATTAACTTATTGAAACTATTTCGAAGTTTTTTGATTTCCAATAAGACTCTTTTATATTTAATCAATGATATTTCAAGTAGCCGTGACGAACTATATGAAATATAATATTCTATTCTCCTTATTTTAATTATTAAGAGTAGCTCAAAAAAGTGCCTTCGCGCATTTTATTAAACTTTTTCTCGGCAATTTTAGGTTTAATTAAAAAGTTCAGCACAATTTACAAAAATCAAAGCCGCTACGAACTACACCAATAGTTTTATTCTCAACTATAATTTTTTATCAACTATAACTCAAAATTATTAATATATTTTTAATTCAGAGATCGAGAACGCCAAAATCAACCGTAATACGCAAAAATCTCAAACATCTAACAAAATTATTAAACAAACAGAACTTACCTTTCTGCTTGTATAATTTATCCGCTAATCCGTCAATGTGTATGCAATAGTTTGGTACTGATAGTTTCTATAGTAGGCAAGTATAATGCATTGTTGTCGACTAGAATACGAAGGTGTGGCCCACAGTCCTACAATGTTCCTTTGATAGAACTGCTCAATACCAAAGAATATATACACACTCAATACACCAATATACGAGTATATGTTTACCACTACTGAAAACGATTTGTTGACCAATAAATTAGCCATTAAGTAAACATAATGAAAGCTAAGCTTCGTATTACGGGTAAAAAAAACGTACAGTGTTTAAATTCTTTGTAATCACGACAACTTAAGCCCAAGAAGCAAGAGAAATAAAAAAGAAATAACTCAGATTGTTTGATGTGACAATTTTTGAAAATGGAACTGTAAAAATATTATTTCTTATTATAATAATAAACAAAGAGTTTCGTTATCTAGCCAGAGATGCAATAAGATAGGTCACCTGCTAATACTGCCATTTGTTCTTATGTAAAAACTACCGTTTTACATGGTTATAACAGTTGCTAATATACAGTGCTAACATAGATTTAATAAACTTATAAATCTATGGAATACTTACTACTTAGAGAGATACAAAAGAACAGCGTCTATATTCCACTTATTCTGCTCCATCTATTCTGCTTTGCAATTGATTATACCAATAAATAATAATTGCTGTTTTCATTGCAATGTTATTGAGGATTATTTAGGTACATCTGCAACATTAAAATATTTGTTGTTCTAAAACTATTTACTATCTTCAGCTGCGAAAAAAGAATGAAGCAACTTTTAAACGGTTTCATCTTATGTAAACACGGAATCTGTTAAGGGTCCGAAACGACAAAAAACTAAATACAAAAGCGAATTTGTATTTAAGTATAAAATTAATTCATTTATGGATAGTGCGCGTGAATATATATGAAATCAATCAGTATTACAATAAATACATACGTAGATAATTGTATTTATCTAACAATATTATATAGAGAAAAATTTTGAAGAGGAGACTATAATTTATGCAGGCGAAGTCGTGGAAAAATTGCTTATAAAACAAAGTCGCTTCCCGCTGTCTGCAACCAGAGATCTTTTAAACTACTCAACGTATTTTAATACGGTTTTCATCAATATACAGAGTGATTCGAGAGGAAGGTTTACAGGCATGTTTAATTCAGGAGCACGCCGCTGGCGGAAAATTAGTAGGTAATTTATAAAACAGAAATGAAAGATATGTATGTGTACGGAAAAAAATGTGTTACAAAGTCAAAAGAAATGGAGTAATATTTATTCATTTGCAACGCCATCTATACCAAGTTTTCTAAAGTAACATAACGAAAATAAAAGCACTACAGTGAAAGCTTTGTTATTCATGAAATACCTTAGTAAGCTGACACAAATACCCTGCGCATTCTTATTTTATATAAGTGTAACTAGAGGGCGCTTTAAGTGCTTCGGTTCGATGCTTTTGATTAAGCATTTTATGACTTTTCTAAATAGATGGTGCTAGTAGACTTTTAGACTTAAGAAAATTTATTATAACATAGAATACATACATGTAATTTAGACATGAAAATTATAATTAATAAATTATAATATGATGTTGAAAATAGATAATTATGGATTTTTTTTATTTTTTTATTTAGCTCTAATCCTTATTTTCGGACGAGGACAACACTCTATTAGGTGCATGTGTGGAAAACAAAGTATAGGTACATCTTCGTAGGCATGGTAGAAAACGAGATAAATACAGCAAGAATAAAAGCAGCTATTACGTGTTGACATTGAATTTGATAGTAAAGTAAAGAAGATTATTTATTTATACGAGAGCGAAATTTAAAACAATAGATAAGTAGACAAATAATAGGGTCAGTTACTAAATTCTGTTTGACCGCGGGTAGATTTGCAAAAAATATTGAACATGTTCTTTTTTTGCGTAATCAATAAATTACGCCGATATGTTGAGTTGACATCTCACACCTTTGTTAAATTTCTGTATAATTGTGACTGTATAATTCAACATCGGTACCTATTATTTAAGCCATTTCTTGTTGAATTGAAGCGAAAAATAAAAACGTATCTTATATTTTTCTGTTAACTGACTGACGGACTATTAGAATTATTTATATTTTTACCCAGGGATAATGTCACTATTTTTCAATAAAACTACAATGCAACAGAGTCAGGACTTGCCGCTGCCCCTGATCCACAGACAATCTTCACGGATATTATTTTAACAATTAAACCCGACTACAGACTAAATCACGCTCTAAAAAGTTTAAAACACTTGTTTGAAACATTTTTTTAGTTTCTTACTTTATGCTCTCTAGAGGGCGCTGTTGCCTATTAAATGTAATATCATATAGCTTATAGGACGCTAACAACTAAGACTCTTCTTATGATACCTCATTTTTCCGGTTGCGATGAGTAGTTTCGAAGTTAAAAGGGAACAGATGACTATTCTTACATACTTACAGGCCAAAATCATGACTGTCCTTGAGCTTCGCCGTAGTCGGGTAAAAATATAAGACCGTTTTGTAATATTTTTGAATTTTCATTCGAAAACAAATAGATGATGGCCTATTGCCATCAGGTGTCATGTTAATTCGTACGAGTTATGCTCAATAATATTAGCAAAACTTAAACTTATTTCTCTATTGATTACGTGACCTGTTCTAAAACCGTAGTAGGTAAAGGTTGCCTGAAAGATATTGTTGATAAATAGTAAGGCCACCTACATTATAAAGTAAAATTTATCTAAATAGAGTTCACGATAGAGCAGTCTCTATCATTAGCTGAAAAAAGAACATTTTCCTCGTATAAAAGAGCGAGACAGTAGAATTTATTCGTGCAAGTACAGCAACGACACGATAACGAGAAAAGTCGCTTTGTAAATCATACTGAGACATAGGGGTGTGTTTAAGCCGCCATATTTATGAAAATAAGACGCAATAAAGCTATAATGGAAGATACAAAAAGCACCGTGCGCGGTCGCCGCGGCATGGGCGGGTTGAGAAGACTTTTACTACCTACGATTTGTCTACAAGATTTTATTTACCATGATAGTTATTCGTTATTAGTAATTCATCATCACCATCATCATCACCAGCCCTTTTACGTCCCCACTGCAGGGGCTCAGGCCTTCCTTATGGATGGTTAAGGAGGATGGGCCATGACCCTCCACGCTGGCCCAATGCGGATTGGAGGGTATTAACGACTGCAAATGCAGCCGGGACCAACGGCTTAACGTGCCTTCCGAAGCACGAAGTATCTCGAGATAATAATTTTTTGGTCACCCATCCCGTGACCGACCCTAGCG